TCCAGGGAATGCAATAAGGGAACAGGGGGAGGTGAAGTATCAGGATGAATGTCAGGAGGGGAAGGATCCTGTTATACACTATTGCATCCAGGTGGGAGTGGTAAGGATAATGGAGAAAGGAGAGTGATTGCTGCACTTAGAGAAGGGGAGGTTGGGGTGTTTGGAAAGAGTGGGAGGAAGAGGGAACTTAAGGAGGAGGAGGTGGATGGATATTGACAATTACTTTAGATGTAGAGGGAATAAGAGTAGAGAGATTGGAGTAAGGGGCTGCAGGGGAATCACAGAATTGATCCCACTTGGCAGGACCAAAGAAAAGTACTCAAAAAGTTTGCAGAGGTGGAAGCAGCAGAAGGATGAGATCAGGAGGAGGATGGGGTGCTGTGGTGAGAGGTAGTACTGTGGGGAGGGAGACAATAAGGATGAAGAGTAGTAATAAGGGGGGAGGTGGTGGATTATGAAGACTGTGCAGTAGGAGATGGAGTGGAGGATGTTTGGAGAGAGGAAGGGATATATTCTGAAGGCGGAGTAATGACCTGGGTGGATGATTTGGAATAGAGTTGACAGCAAACATTGAGGGGGTATTAGTGTCAGCAGTCAGAGGAGAGGTAGGGGTTGGGAAACCAGAGAAATCAAATTTAAATAAGCTAGTTGATAAAGGTGCAAGTTTTAATGCCCCTAATAAGGTTAAAATATATTTCAATACATGTGATCATTCAAAAAGAAAATTTGGGGGATTATAGTCTTTAGAGCTAGCAGTAAATTATTTAATTAAAAAAAAAATCTTACATTAACATAGGTCATGGGATGCATATTTTTCTTAATCCCAATCTAACTATGGTTAAAATGTTTCTGTAGTTTTGCATAAATAATTATATTTTCTATCATGCAATAGTACCTCCAAGAAGATAAAAAGGAGGGCATACAAAAAGTGAAGCATTACCTTGACCTACAGGTTCTGTAGGTCGACTCCTCCCTGTGTGCTAGGAGTACTTTGGGTCTTATTCCCTCACAGCATCTGAGAACTGAGCTGGACACTAAATGTATACCTGGGAGCCTTACTATGGTGAACACTAATTTATGTTATATACAACCAAGAAAGAATGTTTAATGGTTACAAAGCATAATAAGTGTGCTAGACATCAAAGGTCATATGGCACTTTAGAAAGCTAGATGATTAAATGTGCTATATGTCAAGTCATACAACAGTTTCGGATATTATGGTGTTGAGAGGGATAAAGATGTTGAGTAAATGACTTAAGGTAGGAATTTGCAAAAGGGTGATTAAATCAAAGTTGTCCATGTAAAAAGTATGGGAGAAGGCTGGGATTAGCAAAAGGGGAGGGAGGGGGAGGGATTAAGGGCAATTAGATCAGAGACCAGTTTCAGGAAAAATATCTGGTGGGGTAGGATTCAGGAACGGGTAATGTTGTTATGAAATGGAATCACATGTGTGTTCATGAGAGGAAGGGATATCAGGGAAGGAAAGGAGGGGAGGGGGTGATGCAAATGAAGCAGAGGGGGAAGGGGCTTGTTAGGGAAGGAAGGGGTGTAGGGGTAACATGAGGAGGAGGAGGAGGATGTCAATAGTCACTTAAATGTAAAGGGAATGGGAGCTGAACTATTTGGAAGATGGATGAAGTATAGGCATGTTATTTAGTGTTACTAGATATTTTTGAATGTTATCAAGTTTCTTAAAAGGAGTTGGTGGGGGAGGTATGGAAAATACAGGTTTTCTTATGAGGGTAGAAGAGGGAACAGATGCTTGAAAGGTAGAGGAAGAGGTAGATGTAGGAGAGGATGTGGTAGAAGACAGGGAGGAACGTTAAGATTGTCTGAGGAGGAAGCGAGGATTTAGAATGGCAAAAAATTTTGACTGGTAAAGAGAGAAGGTAGAAGTGGGAGGAGGAAGAGATACTGAGGGAGATGTAGAAACTTCTTGCAGAGATAGGGGAGGGGCAGAGTGAAAGATAGTACTGGAGTAGGGAACAAGAGAAAAACCTTGTTGATGAGCTTCTTACCTTGCCTCATGTAAAGTGAGGCCAAGTTTGGATCTGTGGACTGCTACCTCAGACTCAATCAGGGTAGCCCCTTTAAAATACATTATGGGAACCACAATGATTGCACTTGTGCATGACTATGCAGGGCAGGTTGAATGATCATGGTTAGGTTGGAGACATAGAGGGCAGTGGACTGTAGAGTGATGTTGCTTAGCAGGGAGGACAAAATGCCAACATTTCTGATAATAATGTTGATGAGTTGAACAGGGTGAAAATCTAGGGAAGTCATGTTTATGGAAGGTGATTTTGGCAGCATAGATGTATGATTTTTAGTTGCCTCTAGACAGTGTAGTACAGTACTGATACTTCATCACAGACAGAGAGGCAGGTAAGAAGGTTGATTGCACAGTCTAACCAATCCTTGTTATAGACAGGGCAATCAGTTGAGGAGATGGAAACAGTTCTGGTACAAGTATTAAGGGAGGAGTGAAGATGGGCAATAACAGGTTTGCCAGTGAGGTCAGTCAGGGTAGATGACACATGAGCTTGGGATTCCAATGTAACTGTGACAAGGCATGAATGATCAAAACAGCTACAAATAGAATCTTTGCATACTTGTTTTCAGAGGCATTGCTAGAAGTGCTGTTAGAGAATAAGGATGTAGGGGGAATCACAAAAAAATTATCCCACTCATCTGGCTAAAATGTGATCATAAGATTTACATAGGTGGATGTAGTTGAAGGGAAAAGAGTTGTTGAAAAGGTGTTAAGTGAGATCGTACTATGGGAAGGTGGACAAAAAGAATGCAGAGTAGTAATAAGGGAGGAGGGGGGTTGAAAATCAAAAAGACTGTGGAGGATGAGGAGATGGAGTGGAGGGAAAGAAGAAGGGACGTTTTCTGAAAGTTGGGCAATGATCTGGGTAGGTGCTTTGGAATGGATTGAGCTGACATCAGGTACCAAGGAGGGAGTACTTGTTGTGTTCAGTTGTGATCAAAGGAGAGGCAGAGGTAATGTCAATAAAGTTAAAGGCATTGGGGCTAGTTGATAAAGGGGCAAGCCTCAATGCAACTAAAGGAAAAAAAAAAATTATTGGTTAGAAAAAAAAAATCAGAACACCATTCAACTTGTTGAAGACAAAATTATGTGCCATTTCTTCTCTTCATGTATGGCATTATCCATTTCTATTTAAATAATATACATCATGTTAATTTGCCAATATCAATAACCATTAAAGATAACATATTACTATTTTTAGCATTAAAATCTCTGATAAAAAAATATAATATAATCATAATCATCACAAAGAAAATTGTTACTTATTATCAGCATTATTATTAAGGTTTTAGTTTATTTCTGCCTCACTTTCCCAATTTCATAAACCTCTTATCAGTAATGATAAGCATTATCGTTAATGATAAACGTGAAAAGACTTGAGGCATGTCCAGACAAGTGGGCCTTACTGACAGCCATGCCAAAGAACTGTTGGGTAGGCATACTACTGGAAAACACTATTCCATGTGCAAATTAGTTCTTCAATCAGTAGTTTGCCTGCCCAAGACATCACTTTTCGGACATATCCACAGATCAATCCCACTTGTCTAGATACACCTTTATAGCCTTTATTGTATTTCAATATCTTTTAAGTTCTGAAGGTTTGTCCACACAGGCAGACAACTGTAAAGGTGACGTGACAGGCAAGAACACAAACTACTTGTTAACTGTGACATCTCTCTTCATGCCTGCCCATGTGCCCAAGCCATAATTTGCAAGTTTCTAAAGTATTACAGTATTGCATCATGTTAATTCAATTCAATAACCAAAAAATATTCATATATTTTCTCTGGTTACTTGAAACAAAAAATAAACTATGGTACTCACTTTCATATTCATTCTATTGTTTGATTAAATGTACATTTCCATTAGTGTTGTAGATACCTAACCGAAATGGTTATATTCTGACTGGAGGGACACCAAGAGCTGTAGGATTCAAACTGAAATTAAAAGATGAAAAAATATTGCTGGTTGCTGTATATTTACAAGGAATTGGAAGAAAGAAAAAAGGATTTCAAAATAATAAAGAGGATTATTTATTTATTGAACATCTAAAGTCATTAGTATACAAAATATAGTAATAGGGTGGGGCTAGGGGGTAAAGCCCCCAGCTAAGAAATTTCTTTGGTTGAGTAAGGATTTCCAGAATGGTCAGTGGTCGCAAATGTAACAGACATCAAAGGTTCCACAGCATTATGGTATTGCGGCAAAAATGGTAAATGAGTTAATGATTTGGAGAAGTGGACAGAAGGGGATGACGAGAAAGAAAGGGAAAGAGGGAGAAGACCTTGCAAAATTAGTTGAGGTGAGGGCCAAGGTTCAAAGCAGGGTGATCCCCTATGTTGGCCCCAGTCTCAGCCTACTGAGCCCACCCACAGCAACAATAAACAAGGGATGGGTGGGGTGGGGTGGGGTGTATTAAAGAGAAGGTATGGAAATTTATATTATCATGGTTTCATCTAGGCTTGCATTTGGGTATATAGCCAACAAAATCAAATTGCAATATCTTTTCAAGTTGCAAAATTAAAAACTACAATTTCATCAGTTATTACTCTACAGTGGAACATCAAAAAAAATTGCTATGTATAAATTAAGCCCTTCCACACAACTGAGAATTCCAAATGGCCAAAGCCTTTAAGTGTCTGCTTGAGGGTAATCACCAGGATAGGCCATCAAAGTAAGGGTCTTGCTACCAGGTATGGATGTATGAACTTGCCAGACAACTGTTTTATCTAGAAAAATCTGCCAGGCATGGATTGTGTGGGTCTTCCTCACGTAAAAATGGTTTTCTTGTGTTAAATATAATATTAAATCTACTTTGAAGTTTTGTATACTAGTCACTTGTATAAAATGAATAGTTTAGATAAACCTAAAATCAGTATTTTTTTTTCCAAGTTACTGAGAGCATAAAATTCCACTTAACCAAAAGGTAGGATAGAGAAACAATTGATTATAGAAAAGTAACTATTGCATATTCAGATTCGGTAGTACAGTGTAGGAATAAAATGAGTAAAAGCTTTTTAAAAATTACAACTGGTTAACAAAATGTGCTATTCTAAGTAACCTTTATATTTCACCATTCACATTTAGCAGTATTTTTTTTTCTTTCTTTTTTTTTTTTTGTACATCCTTATTGTTCCCTAAGAAAGCCTATTCTTCAAGTTTACGAGTCTTCGTCCTCAATCTTGGGGGCCAAGAAGTAACGGATGTGGCCAATCTCGCCAATTGAATATTCGACGACCAGGGGTACATCAGGGGACATGGAAAGTGAAACCTGAAAATAAAGATAAATTAATATCTAAGTGGTTCCATTCTTTACAAAATATGGATCTCCTAAAACATATTACACAAAGTATATAAATATACAAGAAGAAAAAATACAAACCTGTGGGGAAAGGGGTGTTGCTTTTGTGAACATGTTCAGGTATCTGCAAGCGAAGGTTAGCGTGACCGGCTCCTGCATCTCAATAACGACTGCTTCCTCCTCTTTGTCTACACTGGAGGTCTGTGCCAGCTATAATAAAACAAGGATTCAGGTGTTAATCTCCCTGAGCATGTAAAAACACAAGTAGCATCTGGGCAAAAATAATAGTATAGAGTCTGGTTTCAAAAAACATTCAAACTTACTAGTGCTATAATCTTTCTCAAATAAATGATCCTAAAAAAATAAAAAAATAAAAAAATAAATAAATAAATATTACCTTGATGTTTGCAGTACCAATGTCTCCTGCTGCTGAGAATTTGACTCCTTCCTTTGTACAGGCAATGACAATGCTCTCTCCAAACTGACTAAGATCTCTGCAGATGCGGGCAAATTCACCAGATGGCAATTTGATAACACATGCGTAATCTGTTTCCTGGAAAGAGAAAGTGATTACTTAGTATGAACTTCGGTATACTAATTCAAATAGGGGTTCAAAATTGGCATTTACATGATGCTCTATAATTTAACTAAAATGAAAGATTGATTTGTGGTTTGCATCAAAAGTAGTCAACATTTCAGACAGGACTTTACACATGTTGAACCATTCAATAACCGAGAATAAAACCACCCAGTTACTTACTGGAATGCCAAGATGTTCCTGATCAAGGTTCATCAGCTTCATTTCATAATCGGAGACCTTTTCCTGGTTGGGAGATTCGAACATGAATGTGACAGTGTCTGCATTATCCTGGGCCTTCATTGTGATGATGTCATCGTTAGCTGCACACTTGAGGATTTTGGACATGCTGGAAGTAATCAAAAATTAGTTGGTGGACTTCAAAGAGGACACTTGTCAATCTCATTAGCAGTTTATATTTTAAAAAATCTAAATAAATCTGTGCCCACAAACAAGAGCACTGATTAGCATAGGAGGGATTTGATAGCATAATTTACTTTAACAGTTTAATTACCATAATTTTCAGGAATCAAGTTATTGACAAATCATGAACAAGGTAGCCAGTAGATGTAATCAATAAATGGTGTTACTATGTTTTTGCATACAGGGAAAAAAATAATTCTAGTTAGAAGCTATACTAACTTAAAACCACAATGGTCGATCCAATCTTAATTTTTAATGTCTCCAACATGCTCGGCAAACATTTGACTTCACACACAGCCAGTTGAATGTTGACTTTCATAAAAATTTCCACTATTTGTGGGGTTACTATACAAGTCTGCAGGTTATTTCTTGTATGGATGACTGCAACTCTTTGTCCTCTAAGAATATCATCAATTTGCTCTAGCTTAATGTGTACATACTATAATGATGTAAATATTCAGAAAACTTTTATAAGACCAATTGCAACGACATTGGTATCAATGGATTCTACTTGCACTCTACTATACAAATATATGTCACCGACCCTCCCCCCATGCCTACAACCTTAGCCCTGACAGCAGTAGAGAGCATGCATGGTACCAGTGAAATTGCAGGGTAAAACAAATATACAAAGAATTAGTCAACACTACAGTCAAATGCAGGGGCCTGTGCTCCTGTCAACACCCACAGAAGAGAACAATAAATCCACCAGGTATTTACGGCAGGATAGAGCGTAGAACCAACTCTGCTTCGGGTGCTCCTGCATGTCAGGCACACGCTCTACCCTGCCTTGAATACGTGGAGGATTCTTTGTCTTCCACTGCAGGGGTTGGAGATAGTGACTTCCTGTGTATAATTTTTCATACTTTACCCTGCGATTTCCCCGTTACCTTCCATGCCCTCCCCTATTATCGGGGCAAATAAGGTGGGGGTAAGGGTGGGAGGATCCGCTGTAAAAGTCCTCCGCAGAAGGGTAGTTGAGGACGAGAGGAATCCACCAATACCAATATCGTGATCAGTACTGCGAGGGCATTCTGAATATTTACCCCATTAAGATGAACCTAGATCCCTCCCACACTCCCCATGACTAGTGCCTGAAGAGCACACCGTCATGGCAACTTAGATTACATTACAGACAAAAATTTAGTTAAAGAATTATCCCCTTTTTTTCTTTAGCTCAATACAAACCCCATTCAAGACATACCAATAAAACACCCTGATCCCAAATTGACATAGAAATTTACCAAGTTACATGACAATTCCCGAAAGACTGATTGTAAAGGACCACACGAAGCCGTCACCCTTGGCACTTTGGCATTCATCTGAACTGTGCCAAGGAGGCTGACAAATTCTCGTCTTGCCAAATCGCACGCAAGGGAGGTTTGTCAGCCTTTGACGAGAAGCAGAAAAGCCTCGGCAGTAGGGAATTAGATGAGCATAGATTGTGAGAGGAGAAATAAACAAAACTTCAGTTCTGTTCAGATTATATTATGTAATTGCTTTTAATTATTATTTTTAAAAATATATTTCTTTGTCTTTATAGGCCTATTCTGAACATTTCCTCAAATAGTTTGGTATTACGTAAATCTAAGGTATACAATTAGACAGACAAAAATACTTCATATTTCTTATAGAAAACAAGGAAAATGGGTGAAAAGATATGAAACAAGAAAGCAAGTAAGGTAACAACAAAGACAAAGGCCAAAAATAATAGCATACAAGATAAACAATGACAAAAATAATGGCATAAAACAGTCAACGACCAAAGCAGGTCTGAACAGGACGAGTAAGCGAAAGACGAATCGACGCTTGACAACCATTGTTTACACGACGGCCTTGGCGCCAAAACCTCACCCCCCCCCACGCCATCTTTTCCCCTTATCGTCTTACCTCGTGAGATTCATGCCCATGATGAGGTTCCTGTCGCAGCGGTACTTGTCGAAGCCCTCGGCGCGGAGGTTTAAGGACACCAGCGACACGTGAGAGTTGTCCATGGCTTGCAGTTGGATCCCGGAGTCGGCGCAGTCCCATGACGCTTCGTTCAGCAGGTCCTTGATGGCTTCCAGGACCTTCTTCAGGAGGCTGCCTTGCACGAGACGGGCTTCGAACATGTTGGCGGCGGTTGTTTTAAGGTGAGGGTTAGTGGAGACTAGAATTGGAGGGGGGTTTGTGTGACGTCCGGTGTTAAAACACGTCCTGTGCTGACGCCCGCTTCGGAAGGTCTGCAAGTTTTCGCGCGTTTTCCCGGTGTTGTGGTAAACGAAATTCGCGGGAAGTGTTCCCATTGGTCGGTGGGTCCGGAGAGCGCTGTGATTGGTCCGCGGCGAGTCAGAGTATGAAAAATTTTAAGGGCAAAGTTTGGATTAAATTATAATATTTATAATTTATTTGGGAACGACATTTGTATTTGGTGTAGTGAATGAGTATAATAAATTATATTCTATAAGGTGAAAGTACTTGTATGGATTGTATATATGTATTATATTACATATTACATAATATGGTGTAACGTCTTGCTACTAATGAAATGTAATTGTTTTAGTCATGCGAGTATATATTAATTATATTAAAGAAGAAATACAAACTTTGATTACATTCAGCAACATATGAAAATACTCAGAAATATCAAATGAACTACAGAATAATTAATTATATTTGTATACAGCAGATAACTATAGATCTCTCCTTGAAGCGATCAGCTGGCGGGAGTTCAATCCGCTGATCCGTCAGTCGTCTGCTCGCTTCAGATCTAGCGAGTGGGGCAGTGCAGGCGGGTCCTGGCAGTGCCGTGTTGTCGTGTGAGAGGCCCAGTGTTGTAGGCCTAAGATAATTCGTCTTCTCTTCTTGTTCGATCGCCAACCTTCATTCAGTAACCATGTCGGTTATGACCATTAAATTATCACGGCCTAACGGTTGCCCGTGGGGCTTCAGGCTACAGGGAGGCAAGGATTTTGCTACACCTCTCTGTATCCAAAAGGTAAGAATCAAACAAGAAACTTCAGTCCATTAAGGAAAAAATAAATGAATATGTACAATCTGTCGTGTGCTAAAAGGATTCTCGTTAAATAACGAAACTGGGAGGGACCTCGCGGATTCCTGTCGCGTTCCGGCAACTTGTGCTCATTAGCGACTTTGCGCATCTGCTCGGAACTCGTTTCTCATTAAATTTCGAATTTGATATATTGTCCCGCAGCAGTATAAATAAAACATCAGGCAGGAAGAGTTCCTTGGCAATACGAACATGCTCTCTGGTCAAGCTTTCGCTCACGGCGCCTCGTGCATAAAAATGATTTTTCTGAGTTTAATTAACTGCGTCTTGTGATGAATCGAACTCAGGCCCGAAATTTTAGCGTGCCAAATATGCGGGAAGTTTTTGCGAGTGAGTGTGACCTGAAAAAAAAGTAAGACACTTAAACAAACTGATTTGCTTATATTCAAGATTTACTTTAAATTTTGCGTAACTAAATGAAACGAGTTGATTTAGTCAAGCGCAGACGAGGAGGGAAAGAGAGTGAGAGTAAAAGTGTGAGAAAGTGAGAGTCTGAGACTGCGAGAGTGAGAGTGTGTGAGAGAGTGTGGATGTGAGAAAGTGAGAATGGGAGAGGGCCTGAATGTGAGAGTAAGTGCGTGAGTGCGAGAGTGTGAGAGAAAATAGGCGTGAGGAAGTGAGAAACTGAGAGACTTTGAATGTGAGAGTGAGAGTGTGAGAGAGGGTGTGAGAGAGTGAGAGTGAGAGTGTGAGAGAGTGAGAGTGAGAGTGTGAGAGAGTGAGAGTGTGAGAGAGTGAGAGTGTGAGTGTGAGAGAGGGTGTGAGTGTGAGAGAGTGTGTGTGAGAGAGAGAGAGAGTGTGTGAGAGAGAGAATGAGTGTGTGAGAGAGAGAATGAGTGTGTGAGAGAGAGAGAGTGTGAGAGTGAGAGTGAGAGTGAGTGAGAGAGAGAGAGAGATAATGAATATGTGAGATTTTGAATTTGAGAGCCAGGGTACGTAAGAGAGTGAAAATGTACGAGACTTTGCATGTGAGAGTGACAGTATGAGTGTGGATGAGAGAAAGTGAGAGTGTGAGAGAGAAAGAATATGAGAGACTTGAATTTAAGAGTCAGAGTGAGAGAGAGTAGTTATGAGAAAGTGAGAGTTTTTGCATGTGGGGGTGTGAGTATGAGTGTGAGAAAGTCAGAGTGTGAGTGGGTGAGTGAGAGAGAGAGAGAGAGAGAGAGAGAGAGAGAGAGAGAGAGAGAGAGAGAGAGAGAGAGAGAGAGAGAGAGAGAGAGAGAGAGAGAACCCATCAACTGGATACCGAAAAACTGAAAAAAAAAGTGCTCACGTAAAGGTAAAAGATAATAATTGCTTTACGAGGCGGCCATTCAGTATATGTACTGTGTTTTTGTCTTATGCAAGCAAAATTAAGTTCAGCACACACACATGTGCTTTTGTGTATGTGTGTGTGTGTTTATATATATATATATATATATATATATATATATATATATATATATATATATATATATATATATATATATATATATATATATATATATACATACATATACCGCAAAAAGCAAACGAAATGTTCCTGTTTTACGTGATATTTAACATATTTTTAGCACTTCGTCAGGCGGGGAACATCAGTCTCCTTCGTAATAGAAAAGATTTCGTTTTGTACCTATCTTCGCGTGTAACTCGATCTGATCCCTCGTGAACGGTGCTTGTCTCCTCTCCCATTCAGTCTCCTCACTCTCTCTCCCTCTCTCCTCTTCTCCTCACCCTCTCTCCCTCACCTCTCACTCCCCTTTTATCCTCCCTTCATCCCTCATTCCTTATTATCCTCTTCTCCACCTCTCACCCTTCACTCTCCCCTACTCCTCTCTTCATCCCTTACTCTCCCTTTCTCTTCCTCTCACCTTCTCATCCATCCCCTCCACCTTTGTTACGAGGATGACCTCTCGCTCTAACTCAAGGGCAGGCTTTCCTCTCGTCTTTCTTCGAGTTCTCATACTTCCTCCTTCTTGTCCTTTTAATTTCTGTTTCCCTCGCACACAATTCTCGCTAATTTCTACTTCTCTTCATCTTCTCTCTATTCGGGTATCCCAGTATTTCCCTTATTCTGATATCTTTCCCTTCTTCGTCTCTTTCCTTCTCTCTCTCTTTCCTTCGCTCTTCCCCAGTTTCGTAATCTCAACGGTATCTCATTATCCTCCAAATGTTGTCTTTTCCCCTCCTTTCTCTCGCCTTTTGCTTATTCTATCTTTTTTTTTAAAACTTTTCGCTGGTCAGTGTTTACCTCATTTATCTCCCTCTCTCGTCCTCCTTCTCCTCCTCTTCATTCTGACCTCTTAGCCTCCTTCAGCCTCGTCAGTTTGACCTCATTGCTACTCCTAGAGTCCTCCGTGCCGCGTCCTCCCACTCGCCCTCCTACGCGGGGGACAACTTGACACTTTCTCCAAGAAGTTGCAGGTCGTGTGATCGCGAGAGATTTTCG